CCCCAAAACCCCAAAACCCCAAAACCCCAAAACCCCTCTGGAAGAATTGGTATTGAAATAAACTAGAGATCATCTGTCATCAGGATTTCCTTCCTTAATATCTTCAACTCTTCCCCTTTGACAAGAGTGGCAAGATCAGACTTCATATGTCTTGGATTCCAATCGAAGTATTGACTAGAGAGAGGATTTTCACTAAATCCTGTGTCAATAGAATAGTGATAGTCTCCTCCAAATTCGATAATAACTTTATAGTTTGCCGAACTTATACTTTTTAGAGTCCCGTCAAATAGCTCGTATCTTGAAAGAGAGTATTTAATTGTGTTGATGTTTCCTCCTCCAGGAGTATACCTCTCAAACCATGATGCCAAAGGCGTCATAGAGAAAGGCAAACTTACATAGAAATAGGGATGGAAGTCTCCCCATTTTATAGATCTTTTCTCTTTTTCCTTATCAAGATAATTTATTGCTTTTTCTAAAGCAAGGGTGACTAGCTCGGCTCATGAATCAACCTCTATATGATAAAGTTAAACAAATAGGCACTACAAAGAGCTTAGATACATCAGAATTTTTGGCTGTAATAGCGATCAAGATATGCTAATTCTACAAGGAATATCTTCTTTCTTGTTTCAGTATTTCCTCAAGTAATCCAACAAACAATTTTAGATATTTAATAAAGATACTAACCTGTTGTGTCCTTGCCATCTATCTTTCTAAATTTCTCAATCATCTGGTTATCAAAGCTTGTGCAGTACTCAGGCTTGTAGTTGTCCTCTCTATTGACTCCTCTGTAGAACCTCAGAAGGAATTTCTCTGTAAAAGGGTGTGATAAAAGTTCCATTTTGAGATCCTGATCTTTGAATTGGTCACTCAGGATGTTACTAATGAGGTAATATTCCCACATTGAGAAATATGTAGGTGCTTCAAGATCAGCATCAAAGCTTCCATCCCATTTTGCTAACTGAGAAAGAACTTGCTGTGTTCTAAGAACATTTAGATGGGTGTGCACCTTGAAGTGATTATGGACTGCTTGAATTAACTCAACTTTCTTATGCTTTACTGCATTGTCCAATGTATCTTCTAGAATATTGATCATATCCTTATATTCAATTTTTCCTGTCTTTTCTTGGATCAATTTTGTGAGCAAATCGTTAATACGAGAAGCACGAGGATTTCCAGGAACATAACCTGCTAGAGGATGTTCGGTATTGAGAGAAGTAACTCCATTATTAGCAGCAACGATAAATCCCCTAGGGGGATTAATAAGATAAGGCTTTTCTTCAGGAGAGAGATATCCAATCCAATCATTCTCTCCTGTCCATCCCTGTGAAATTGTGGCTCCCTGATTTTTATAATTTCTCTTTGGGAAAGATCCAATCGGAACAAATCCAATGTTACCTTGACTATCTGCAAACACTCAATTCTGTTGGAATCCCGTAAGATTTATGAGTAGATCTTTGACCTCATAAACATCCTCAGCAAACATGACCTCATATATTATATCCATTGCATTGAATTCATAAGGATCTGCTCCTATCCACTTCATCGAGAGATGCTGGTTTATTTCAAACTTAAAGCAATGAGTGTCTATATGTCCAAAGATATGATAATATTGATCAATAAGTGGACCATTTCTGGTGTATTTTAACACTGCTTTATGGTCTGGTTCTCCCTTTACTTTGATGATATGCTCTTCATGTTCAAGTGGATAAAACACTCCTTTATAAAGGTACTTATCATCTTCAATAATCTCTTGATAGACATCACTGGCGTCTGCAAAAATAGATGTCATTCCTGTAGCAATTTTATCAGTAGCAATGATTACAGGAACTCCAAAAGTAGGAATGGCAGCGCCAAAGAGATCAGTACCGTCTGGGAACATTATGTGACAGGGATACCAAGTTGAAGGAGCTTGATTAGTGAGATGAGGATCATTTGCAAGAATAGCTTCCCCTGATTTAGTTAAATTTCCACTGATAACCCAACTGTTGCTTCCTTCTATATCAATTTCTTGAATCATATCAAATGCCTTTTCAACCTCAGATTTAAAATAATGAGAAATATTGGAGACTCTTGGGTTCTCTACTACTTCATGGGTAGCTGCTTGGCTAAACATATTAAGCTCTCTCAAGTCACTATCTTCTACTATTGTGTGCATGAATTCATCAAAGTATTGATGATCAAAAGCAAACATAGAATGCATTAATTCTTCATTGTCTGTGGTAGCTTTCACAAAATCTCTTGCAACTTCTAATCCCCAATTATGAGTCAAGGAAAACCTGATAAATTGGAATGCTGCACATGTGTCTATCATAGTCCATTCATCGAATTCACTCCAAAGGATTTTGTATTGAATAGGTAGAGAGTTTTCCTTAACATAGTCATTGATTCCATCCACATATGCTTCAATATAGAGCTTTGCATCTTTATTCTCGAACTGAGTAACGATGTGTTTACAGGTTTTAGTTGTCTGTATCACCTTCATGGCTTCATCCAACTTGATAGTCTTTGAGCCGAGGACTTCACTAAGTCTTCCTTGTGCTAATCTCCTTAAGTAATCCATCTGCCATAGTCTATCTCTTGCATGTAGATATCCAAGAGCGTATCCTGCTGTAGCATTTGCATCAACTTTGATATGAGGAAGCCCATTATCTTCAAAGAAAATCTCTGCTGTTCCAGTATGATGCTTCAAGGTCATCTGCCTTGTAAATGAGGGAACGAATGTTCCCAAATAAAACCCTACCACAATAACTATTGCCGACACAAACAATCATCACCACTCAAATCGCTTCATTTTTATTTAATTCTCCAAATTCTTCATCCTAATACAACTCTCAAGGGGTTTTGGGGTTTTGGGGTTTTGGGGTTTTGGGG